GAACGGTTGAACGGATCTGGATGAAATTTGGCACAGAGATATACATATTATAGTCTGGAATAAAACATAGGCTACTTTTTAAAACGTGTACGGTTCCCGTGGGATAGGTTTGTGTTTTTTTCCTAGAGGCGAACCCGAGTAAAGCGAGTGAGCCGCTAGTTGATAATATGAACTCAAAGATCAAAAAAATAATTATCCTAGGACCTATGCAATAACCATCGTACATAAAAATCATTTTCAGTTTTTCCCAACCAATTTCCTTTTATAATCCGTACTCGAACTATTACGAACATTTTAAAACAGAAATTAGCCAAATCGGCTCAACAGTTCTCAAATGATGCACATACCAACGAACATTTCATTTTTATTATATAGACTGGAAATAGTTAACGTATAAGTGGATGCATTATGATATATGGTAGTCATATGGTGTATTGTGGCATGTATGTACACCGCTTATTATATGACGCAGATAATGTGTGAATACAAAATGAAAATACAAATTTATTACTTTTCATTAACACCTCCAGGTAAATTTCTAAGAAATTATTTAAATTTCTAAGAAATCATTGTTAACTGTAACGCCGGCGTGTCCGCGGTCGTGTAGGGAATGAAGTTTAATATATATGTATTATGTAAATTATTATCGTGTTTAGTTCATGTAGTCAACACTTTCAGCTTATTTTATTTTTAACCATTTTCAGGCTCGCTTCGGACAGACCCTAGTTCCTAACTTTAAACTATACTTAATAATTAATTAATCTTCAATACTTCTAACATTATTTTATTTTCAATAGATTTTTTTTTATTGCGAATGTACCTTCGGAGATATTATTTAGGAGACATTATGCTATTGAGGAATTTTCTAGTACATAATTTTGATGAAGATTGGAGTAGTAAAAAATGTGATAAATTATATGTACACAAATTTAGTTAAAATTGGTGCAGTACTTTTTGCCTTAAACGCACACAGATATACAAACAGACAAAGATTTCAATAGCCATTGCTTTGGAGTCTATATTCTGTACAGAAAACATAACAGATATTGTATTTAAAAAATATTTTATGTACAGATTTTGTTTTGCTACTATTTTATCGTACATATGTACATATTATAACAAGGATTTAATGCTTACTGAATAATAGCGTCTAATCAGTTCTCTAAGTGATTAATGTCATACGCCTTATCATATTCCGTTTGTAAACTTGATGTGTGCATCATTTATTGCTTCGTTAGCGGCCTATAATGTAATGTAAATTAGATTCTAAGCGGGAAATGACGAAACTATTGGTGATTAACCTCTACAGATTGAATTCAACCGGGTAAGAAGTTCTTGTTATATCCGAAGAATTCACATTTTTTCGGTATATGTAATAAAATTTTCAAAATTTATTATTATAATCAATCTAGTCAAGCAGGCACAGTTAAAAGTAATCATATAATATTACAAGTCTTACTAAAAAGCAGTAAGTTCGATTCCCATCTGGAACATTATGTACCGACCTAAAAGATATTTGTCTAAGCCCAGTAGCAAAGTCAGCACAGTCACGTTTGTTTATTACGAATTAATTGAATGCTTATCCCTTTCTCCATCGTAAGCGAAATGTCACAAAAAATCATAATAATAAAAAAATAACATAATTGTTAAACATCAAAGGATTGTACGAATAATAACGGTAATAACAGAAAAAAAATCTAAAAAGAATCGAGATAATAGATCTAACGACGGAATTAAATACTGCCCCGTCGCAAGGCAACAATAGGCGCCCGCCAGGACCACGCTAAATCAAGGAGGCGGTCCCACACACCCCCGGGAGTGTCAGTTAAAGGCGGCTTACATTACGCACCTGGTCGATTTGGTTCTAATATTTTAATTATACTAATAATAAAATAAGTTGTTACAAAAATACGGCTGTAAATGGAAATACATACATTGTTTATTTCATAAATTTAACAACAAATAAACTGAACAAAATATCTTAATAATCATTTTTGTGACAGATCTAGTTTATGAGACGTAACATAGGACACTTTTCATCCCGGTCCAACATGTATTGCGTTGAATATTAGTTATTAAATCATCTTATAATATAATAGCGATCCCTTCAGGATTCGTCAACATTATTTGCTTTTTGTAATTTAAATAGGCATGTTTTATATAAATATGTAGATATATACATACTATATAAAGCATAAAGGCAGTGGTAGCCCAGTGGTAACGCGCTCGCTTGGGAAACCGATTGAAGCGGGTTCAAATCCCGGGTCTCGCACCTCTGATATTTTCATGTGCGAATCATTTCTAACATGATTACCACTTGCCTTACGGTGAAGGAAAACATCGTGAGGAAACCTGCATGTCTGAGAGAACCTAACAAGTTTTCGGAAGACATGTGAAGTCCGCCAACCCGCACTTGGCCAGCGTGGTGGACTATGGCCTGATTCCCCTCGTACTGAAGGGAGGCCCGTGCCCAGCAGTAGGACGTTAAAAAGGGCTGAATACATACATATAAAGCATCCGAAAGGAATTCTCTACACGATATTGAAGCCCATGTCCAAACCTGATACGTATTTTAGAAAGACTAATAGCACTAACAGCCAGATATAGATAATGACTTAGTATTACTAACACACAATTATCAACTAATGTCAAACAAAGACATCCCCATATATCGTACATTAATAAACAACATACAGTTAAAATCGAAAAGTTTATATCGAAGTTGCGACCCTAATAAATACCTATGTAGTCGTATCCTAAGTCTAGCCAACCCCAAAATACGGCCGGGGGTCGAAACGGCCCCCCCACTAATTTACGTGTTCGCTATAATGTGTCATCAGTGCAGGCTGCACTCGTGCGTGCTAATTCACTGCTGCACATTTGTATGGGGGTACTTTTAATCATTGTTGTGGTATTCAATTGGTAACGCGGTCGTTCCGTCTGATAGCAACCGTAGTTTAGTTGTTTTGGATTAGTTGCGTTAATTAGTGGAATATTAATAGTATTAAGCCGGTGAATATCGTTGTATGTATTTTAATGTGGATTTAGTTTTATAGAACAGAAATGTTTTCGTATAATACAAATAATAATTGTTTTCTTGTATAAAGTGTATGGGTTATTATGTATAGTATTTTTTACAAATACAAAATCAAAACACAAATATAATTTAAATTTAATACTCATATATATTATTAGGGATTTTAGTATGTGTAGTCAACACTCCGTTTATTTTATTCTTGACTACATATTTTCAAAAAAATCTATAAGCACTCCTAATAACGTAATGGTAGCAAGAAGCTATCTTTCTATCTATCTATCTCGTGTTTGCAAACAATCGTTAAGTATTTGCAATAAATTAACTACTTCGTAAAACTTGCGCGATAGATTCCATAGCTCTTTAACTGAGAGTTGGGAGCCCGCCAGTTTTATCTTGACTTTTAATTAAATGGTAGTAAATTTCGCCATTTTGTGAATGAAAAATAAAAATAGAATAATAACTGGTGTCTGGGTCCGACAGATCATAAAATACATCAAAAGTTTCGCTGCGTTGCCAGACGGACAATATGTGCCGGAATTATTTTCACTCAATAGCGTTCGAACACTTTCGATAAAAATGCTCTTTGTTCAGGTCAATTTATCATTTGCACTCTATTAATCTTAAAACGAACCTATGAATATAATACAATTCAAAACATAAGAGGAGTATTTATATAGAATACATCAATGAAATAGTGTTTTACTTCTCGTTTTGCACATATTCTGGTAATCTAAAGCTTCAAATATTCACACCGCATATGTAAAACGGAACTGTGAGACGTTAATGACCTTAAGCCTAACAGCATGCTAATGTGATGAACGTCTGCTGTCTAATTATAAGCTTAATACGTGCATTATGTTGGATGCGTTACTTCAAATGTATTTAGTTTGTAGTATTTTAGAACAAATTATGCAATAAAAATATATAAATTCTAACTATATGTATAAATTAGATTTCAAATAACTATATAATATGTATTCCCAGAACTTGCTACTTATAAAAGAATAAAACGTGAAATGCATAGTGGAACACGACGTACAGGAAAACGTCAACGTTATTATAAAAAGCAAATAACGGCAATGCTATACATCAACTAAGGAAGATTTGTACCCGACGCGGTAAGTCTGAGGGTAGAAAATAAAATATAGCTCGCAAAAGTAACGATCTCGCGAGACGGATTCTTCGGGGAATTGGAATGATACGCGTGAGAACGATATAATATTATTAGAAATCGAGAGAAATTCGACGTGGATATTTTAGGGTTACAAAGACAATAATGGTATTGATATTTTTTGAGATGGCTATTTTAGTTCCAGCTACGATTTAAGAATTACGTACATATATCAAAAAGTATCCCAATAAATTATTTATTTTAAATTACTTGGTTTAATCATTTTCTACTAACAGCTTAGTTGTATGCGTTTTTATTTACACAAATATTAAAGATAAAAAGTAATGAATTGTATGTAGAAGATGTGAGAAACACCGGAACATGTTATTACATTCTGAAAACTTCTTTATTAATCTGAAGCTCGTCTTTGAATTATACAGACTACGTGCAAATTGAGTTTTATACCCACTAGGTATAAAAAAAAATGAATACAGAATTAATCAAATTATTAAAATACTAATACATGTTTATTTCAAATAAAATTATCTTTTAATAATTTCAATAAAAAGGTTTTATTTTCATACTTTTCTGTTGCATGAAAAATGAATGAAACCAACACTCATACTCATATGACTGGACGGGTTAGAATGAAATTTAGTACACAGATAAACTATAACTTGCTACTAATAAAATTTGCCAAAACGTACAAGAGACCCGAGCAAAGCAAGAATAAGCCACTGCAATTCAATAATAAAGAAAATTGAACAATTCTAAAACAGATTAACATATATTTTTCATTTCACATATCTCTAAACATCATAAAGATAAGAAGATGGAAGGCAAACATCTTACCTTTTCCAATTCGTCTCTTACTGAGCGTAAATGATTCGCATCCGTCGAGTCTGTGTCGATAGCGCGTATCTGCGTTTCAGCCTCGCGCGCCGCCCGACCTAGCTCTTCTTCACGTGCCTGTTTATAAACATGTTAGGTTTAATTCACTGTTGGATGGTAATTTGTATACGGTTTGGTTAATTTATGTATGTTTTGTTATGAAATAGTTATAAATAATTTTCACAGTATATAACGCGATTTCTTTGCTTTTCTTTGCTTTTCAGTTATTTTAACATAATGAATATGCTAAATGAATGCAAATATGTATATGACTTAAACGAATACATAAATCAAACAAATAAATAGTATAATCTATACTATATCTACCGACCCGATAGACAGATATTACCCTGGCACAAGTGTTTGGCCGAAAATTTTAAAATAAAACTTCAGTCCATATTAAAAAAGCACGGTGTCACAGAAATAATAATTTCACCAGTCAAGCCCCATTTATGGGAAAAAGAATGACGAGCACTCACGAAAGCAAAATGCCCTTAGTAGGTATACTTAATCATAAAACCTATTTCACTATTTCAAAAAGAAACTGTGAGGGCAGGTAGTTTATAAGTAAGAGACATCATCTAAGAATTTCATACGGATTTTGCGACAGGATCGAATTAAGTAAGTTTATATAAAAGTATAATATAAATTTAAAAAAATATATTAAACTAAGTATTATATAACTAAGTATTATATAACAAACTATCAGCTAACAAGGGTTAGAATTAACTGCACAAGTTAAACAGGCATCTGACCACTGATCATTACAACTTTAGCTGTAAGCTGTACGTCAAAGTTCCATACCGGACTAGTATAGTAAGTGGATCAAGTTCAAGTAGCGAGAGCTTACAGTTTAATTAAGTCGCTTTAGTTTTTCTACGGTCTTATACTTGAATTGCTTCATCATACCAGTTCCTTGGTAGTCCTTTAGATAAGATTTTTTATAAAAATTTAACTCGTTTAATATATAAATACATACAACAAGTTCAATTTTCTCGCTGAAACGACTGGACCGATTTGGATGAAATTTTGTACTAAATAGAGTATAATTTGGACTAACATATAGGCTATTGATAATAAAAATTGCCAAAATGTAGCGCTACCTGCATATAATAAGCATATGAGAAGCGAGCGTAATACGCTTGTTTTCATAAGAGTTTTAATAATAATAATAATAATAAATACATATAAAAAGAGGCATATTTCAGGGTGATTCGTTGAGTCCTTTATGGTTTTGTTTAGCTCTTAATCCCCTATCGAACGAATTAATTGACTCTAAAATAGGTTTTGATATAAAAAACAATAGAAAGAAACTTCATTAATTAACTCATTTATTATATATGGATGATTTGAAATTATATTCGAATAAAGAAACTAATATGATACAACTACTAGATATAAGTTTAAAATTTTCTAAAGATATAAAAATGGATTTCGGGTTAGATAAATGTAAAAAATTAAATATAGTAAAAGGTAAAATAGTTACAGGTGATTATAATATTAGTGAACAAGATAGTATTACAGCAATGAAAGATAACGAACTATATAAATATTTAGGGTATCATCAAGCACGTTTATTAGACCATAAATCAATCAGAGATAGATTACAGCTAGAATATTTTAACAGGATACGTTTACTTAGTAAAACCCAATTATGTAGCAAAAACTTATTTAAAGCAATTAATACCTACGCAATACCTGTTTTAACGTATTCGTTTGGAATCGTTAAATGGTCAAATACAGCTTTAAAAAGCTTAGAAACTAAGACAAGAACAATTTTAACACAGCATAGATATCATCATCCTAAATCCGCAATAGAACGTATAACTTTACCTAGAAAATATGGAGGAAGAGGCCTCATCGATATTACACAGCTTTATACTAAACAAGTATCAAATTTAAGAAAACATTTCTATGAAAAGAAAATTACAAGTAAGTTACATGAAACTATAATTGAAATAGATAGATTCTTTACGCCACTTAATCTTAACAATGAAACTACTGAACCGATTCTCAATACACAAGAAATTGAAGTTAAAATTAAAAACTGGAAAACAAAAGAATTGCACGGCAGACATCCAAAAGAATTAGAACAATCACATGTAAATAAAGAAGCATCTCACAAATGGCTTGATTGCGGAGGTTTATTTCCAGAGACTGAAGGATTCTTAATGGCCATCCAAGATCAAGTCATATCCACTAAAATTACAGAAAATACATTTTGAAAGACAGAACAGTACAAAACGATCTATGCCGTAAATGCCACCTTAAACCAGAAACTATCCAGCATATAACAGGAGCATGCGCAACACTAACACAAAATGACTACACACACAGGCATAACCAATTGGCTAATATTATACATCAAAAACTTGTTCAAAAATACAAACTCACTAATGATCCGCATACACCCTACTATAAATATACACCACAATCTGTATTAGAAAACCAGACATACAAAATATATTATGATAGGACTATTTTAACAGATCACACAATTTATAACAATAGACCTGATATAACCTTTGTAGATAAGAATAATAAACATACATATATAATAGATATAGCAGTACCTAACACTAATAACTTACAAGCAACAATCAGTGAAAAAATAAGAAAATACACAGAGTTACAAGAAGAAATTAGGAGAGTTTGGAAAATGACGAATGTTACAATAGTACCCATAATAGTGTCCACAACAGGCGTTGTTCCGAAACTTTTATTTAATTCTTTAAGCATTCTTTCTTTGCCTAAATTCACATATTTAACTCTTCAGAAAGCTGCTATTTTAAACACCTGCAGAACAGTAAGAAATTTTTTGCAACTTTCTTCAGATAATGATGACAACACAGTACAACAAACCACCCAGAACTGATTCAGCACTTGGTTCACGCCCGTGCTGGATCATATTACCAGGCACAGTCTGAGATATCAAATTTGATAAAAAAAAAAATAATAATAATAATATTTTATTGCAAAGGTATACACCCAATTTATAATATAATAACATATATGTAGGTATACAAGTCAATTTTTATATCACTTATGCATATATATGCAAGTCAATAAAAACATTATAAAAACAAAATTCAGTCAGACTCTTCATTAAATTAAACTAGAATTAAAAACAATATATCGCTGTTGAGTATATAGGCCATTACTACTAAATCTATAAGAATCTATTAAGTTAGTTAGTTTTACAGCTAAGTGTATACAATACATTACATGTCCCATCAACAGTTTCATGCAACACGAGGTCTAAGCAATAAATTTATTTTACGAGTGCACAGGCCGCCTGCAAAGCTCTAGCCTAAGTTTTGCTGATGCGGTAAGTTTCAATAACCGTAAAGTATTTTAAATGTATTGAAATTTTCCTTCGTAAACTAATGTTGTTTATATTATCTAAATAATAAGCAATTTATCAAACTTAATTCTGCTCCGTGTTAGCAAAGCCCCACTATCGAAAATATTTTAAATTTTAACACTTCTCTAAAACTATCTACTAAAATGTCAAATATTTGCGTAAATCTTAAAAAGTTTTTCTTATGATATTTCCTACAAAATTTCATAATTTTTTTGCTCGATTTATTATATTTCTTTTGCTAAAATCTATACTATAAACATATTATAAACACGAAAAATTTTGTTTGTTTGTACCGAATAAGCTCGGAAACTACTTAAACCGATTTAGATGAAATTTGGTAAGAATATAGTTTGAGACCCTGAGAAGGACATACAATAGTTTTTATCGTGGAAATCGTCCCTTAAGAAGATGAAAATGGAGATGAAAGTTTGTATGGGGAAGCAACCTAGGGACGAAACCGAGAAGCGCGGGTGGGTCGCTAGTATATATATAAAGACTGAATTGATAAATACTACATAGATATTTTTATATATTACGTCCATATATGTAGGTACATATGTGTGAGCAAATAAAAACATTGAAATTCGTGATGCAGGATTTTAACTTAACACTTTTAAATATTTGTCATTAATTTATAAAATACATAAATACATTCACAATAAAAAACCTAGTACGATACTGTCCCCAGACCTTATGAAATATCAACGAGTCACAGACAAAGCGGGCCAACAAATTGAATAGCCACAATATGATTACCGACACAGGAATACAATTACAGTTATAGTCAGGATCTCAGTCAAAAACTATCCACTATCCACCTCTACCACCAATCAATTTGATGTAACGACGTGTAATAAAGGACGTGTCAACACACGATAGGTTTTACACGCTCTGAAATGGTCGCCTACCAAAAACAAACCTATGCATTTAGTTCAAAGAGCTGAATGTCTCCCCACTCAATATCTGTCATCAGCGAGCATCGATCGTGACTAGCTTTGAAGCCGCTATTCACATATAAAATAGCCGATAGGTCTACGAATGTCCACGCTGCAACTACGTCTGAATGTCCGCCTGAGGTTTGTAAAGTTCGTGGGTTTTCAACTGAGAAGTCTAGAGTACAAGCTATGCATGATCGATCTGCGTCTGATCGTGTCTGTATTTGTGAAATGGATAACGTGTATTATGGGACGCTTCGCTTTTGCTTTACTAACCTACCAAATTCGACGACTGTCTATCGTAACGCCTACTAAGGGAAATCACGGATTTAATTACCGCTCAAATTAATTTACAACTGCCATACACATTACACAGTCTGTATATAATATCTCATAAACATAAAATATACGATATAGTAATAATATAACATTTCTTCAATAGATATAAGCTATTTCGTGATATTCGTGCTTTGCAATACTCTGTAATTTGACTGTCTGGACTATCTAATGTTAGACCGAAAATCGTTGTATACACGAAGCTATTACAATTCAACACTAATAATTCAGAGGAACCGACACGACGTATCGTATTCGCTAGCTATCAACTGTAATCGATTCTGTCAACGAGCTTGGCATAACACCTCCACTGTCAACACTCTAACACGCGACAGTTTACGAAACAAAACTAAAACCAAACATAGGTTCTAGTACGAGAGATTTAAATAAAAACGTCTCGTGGTTTATTAATGTACCTACATTAAAATTTACTAAGTTTTTAT